GTGGGGGGGGGGGGGATTTTAAGTGTTGCACTTTTTGGCTGGTTCGACACGTTTTCGACCGAACCTCATTACTAGCAATAATTCCGCATCTGCACTAAAAAGCGGATCAACTTTCAATTGACCAATCAGCTTACGGCTGAGTGCTCACCTTCAACAACGGTTAGTGGTAGGCAGGCATCTCCTCAAAGACACTTTCAGTTACCTCACAAACACAACTTAATCGATATATAGAGCTATGGTCTTTTTGTGTAAGTAATACGTAAATTGCCAGGCCAAAATAGTTAGGAGTTCTTGTTAAAACATCACGATGTACACTTAAATGGCAAAAATTTGATATATCTTTTAAAGAAAAACATCGATTACAATCTGTGGTTAGGTTTGCGTGACATTAAGCCTCGTTCTCTTTTGGCCACAGCGTACGTCTAGCAGCCACTTCTATGGTCCAAATTGACACACATTTGGCTGACTGCATTACCTGCTACGCAAACTTTCCTAGCGAATTCGGCTCCAGACAGTAAAAGTCTAAGAATTTGACTTTGCTTAATGTGTAGCGTACATAAAAGATGCATTTTTCTTCCGTGAAAGTGACGATTAGAAGTTATTGGTGGAATTGACACATGCTTGATTCACTGATGGGCGAATTTCCCAAGCATTCTCCTGTAGGTGTGTCACTAAAGGTCAGCTTTGACATTCCATTTTTTGGATTCAAGGGGAAATATTTTGACAACTTTTCGCCGAATTTAGAGGCCAAAAATGCACAACGGAATGACGTTTGTTTCGTCGAAGCACACAAAACGCGCCGATTTTTGTCAAAAATCCAAACGGGGAAGGTCATTTCAACACAAATTGGCAGATCTAGAGTAAAGGGAGAAACATACTTGTTCTTTCATCTTACGTCTTCACAAATTTCCAATCGATAATTCAGCCCTACAGAATATCGATTTTCCAAAAAATTTTTCCTAAAACGTTTCCAAACACTGGAGTAAAAAGTGCATTGGTGCATGTGATGTTTACCTCGCACGACGGTGGTGGGTTTTGTTCCATCTCGTGTCAGGATGGCGTCGAGCGCCGCATTTAATTTAATTAACGCACACTAAGCAATGTTACCCTTGTCCCTTTTATAGACGACTTAGCTTACGTCCAGAGAAGGAACAACTTTCATCCCAACACATTTCCCGATCAAATGGGAAGATTCTCGACTCTCGTTAAGCTTATTTGAGTCACATCATATGCCATTTGCCATAGCCGTTTAAGACATTTCAATTCTGCTCGCTGATTCGCTGATTTCCATAGTCGAATATTTGTTCAACCTATGCGGTTTCGCTAAATTTTGATTGGCAGTCCGTTCACTGCAGAATTCGATTTTTAATGTGGCATTTTATAAGTTACTTTGTCATGAATACCAACTCTTTGTCTTCCTATCTGGATCAAAGTTTCTTTTTTTGTTTAAACGCTAGATAATGCAGACACTGGTTCTCAGATTTGCTCACCTAGGTGATTCAATCACCACGTACTACACAGACCTGCTTTTGGGCCATGTGTGGTCCAGCCTCTACCCGCCGTCCCCGGAAGAACCCCCGCCTCCCTCCCCTTCACCCCTTGTCATCCCGTCGATGTCTCAGGTAGTTGGTGACTTCATTGTTCCTCTCACGTCCACTGCGAGACTGCGGAAGTTGAGGGGCAAGAAGTGCGGCTCTCGACACAAACGTAAGTGGGATATCGATTTTTATGGGTGATACATCCACCGCTTTGTTGCTAATGTGAACATTTGGCTTTAAACGGGTGGTATTTTAAGTAATTGAGACACCTGGAAGAAGCTGTAAGTTCTGCTTGAAGCGAATCAAATGCTATAGTAATCTTCCACGTTACAGCATTGTAGAAAATCGATTTTATCAAGAGCTAATTTCCAAAATTGAAGATTTAATCTAAAGACTAGATAGTTAACCATTGCCGACGCCAACAGAATAAAAAATAAGATAATATACCTCCGAAAATCACCTTTAATATAAAACAAAAGTAGCAATCGAGAACCGGTACTGGAAATCCCTAACTGATTATGATTCAATCATGTCACGTTAGTACATTTCATAAAAAGAGTCTTAATTGTTTTTAAACTCCGCTACCGTGGCATGATGAGCTTGTTTTAATCCATTAAGACCACCTCCATCAAGCGCTGAATTTAAAATCGCCGTTTGAAATTTTCGATTATCAGAAATTCGTACCACGCGATCAATTTGCATCGACATCATTAGCTGCCGATTGCTTTATTGCATTTTTTTGCTCCCAAAGACAGTAATTATACCTATAATTTACCTCTTTTTAAAAATAGAAGTACAAATTTGGGTGTGTAAACGCAATGCCCCATAATCAAAATGCACTCAGAATCGCCCCACAATGCGCTGGCCTAAACTGCTTCCGTTTGATTGCCAAGTAGCAAAAATAGTTCCAATAAGGCGTGGGATAATAAATTTACTGCAATTCAATTTCCGTTAGCTAAAGCGGACACTCACACAATTTGAGTTGGGTACATAATGTGTTACCGCGCACGCGGCGGTTCACTCCACCAATCGCATTAAGCGGCCTCGAGCGAGAAAATGAACGATCCTACTGAAATGACACACGAAAGGGCAGTTGCAAACACGCTCATCGTGTTTTCTGCACATGGATTACTCCGTAAGGCAACTTCGAAAAGAGGTACCAATTAGGTGGTGATTGCTGTTTCAATTCTCCACGTTTATATCTTAACTGTAAAGTAGATCTACTGCCTATGGCTGTTGCTTTAATGAGTGCCTTTCCACAAATCAACCTATTTAAACTTTTTGATCAATTTTTTATTGGTTAAAAAGTTATCCACGAGGAGTGGTTGTGTTTCGTAGGTGGCGACATGGACGAGAAGCACACGCCCCCAGTTGGTCGGCTTCTAGCAATGGCCTCTCGCCTCCTCTGCCTCACCCGAAACCGCTTTGGTCGCAGGAGTCAAGAGGTGTGCACGAGCGCTCAGAAGAACGTCCCAATCTTCCCCA